CCTTGTGTAATATCTTTCTGTCTAAATATCTCTCATTACAAAATGAGATGCCTACAGCTTAAAATCTGGTGCAGCAACGTACAAAATTAATTTTCTTTCTAAAATTAGAGCATCCAGCTTTTAATCAGGTGTGTTCTGTAGTCCAGAATATACCGTATTCATTTTTTCACACTGTCAGATGTGAAATCCAATTAAACTTTTCCTATTTTAGGTCAGTTAGGATTACCAATACATTTTTCTGCAATATATGTTTAATACCAGAATAGTGAAGAGGGAATCTTCAGCTCATGTCGGTCCTATGTTCATTGCACTGTTGATGACACACTCTTACCAGCTTCAGCCAGCATCTTCATCTGGGGCATCATGTATAACTTTCAACAACAATTTTGAAACAACTTTCACACTAAAAGTTGGCATAGGGACACATTTTGAAAAGTGCAGCACACAAAAATTCTGTCTAAATCTGTGCACAAACAGATGGCTGCGCACCTTCCCTTTATATATCCCTATTTGTGTGAAATAGAGTGCAGCTGCTGGTGCCTCATGGACCACCCCACCGCCACCCATAAATACATAGTGAAAGCTGCAAGCAGCATTGGTGGCCCTCTTAGCTCAGCACCTTTCAAACCTAAGGGCAACCACAGGAGCTGCGTCACCGCCAACCCGTCGGTGCCATTGACCTTCTTGCTCTGTCATTTCTGGACGCGTCCACAAGGCGGCACATCGCAACTTTGTCTAATCATCATTATTTTCTTTAAGTGGGTGGTGCTTTAATGATGTCATTAATATACCACACCAATGTGTCACTGCAAGAAAAGTAGGATATTTGACCCTGTATACTAACGCAAGCACCATTAGTGTGCGACAGCTTTCGGGCAGTGCATTTCCATTTGCCTGTTTGTGTACCCACACACAAGCAAGGTTAAGATTAATGATGTAGATGGAGGAGAACGTTCCGGACTGTGCAGTTAAAAACATTGGATAAGACCTGCAGGACTTGACCAGTCCTGAGCATTGAATTGGCTGCATGTTTTATCTTGCAGGTCCATAGGTGAGCCAGAACCTAGAATTGCTGACAGGATGTTAAATAGTTACTTTAGACCAGGGGTGGGCAATCCTGGTCCTGGAGGTCCGGTGTCCTGCAACTCTTATACGTCTCCCTGGTTCAACACACTTGAATCTAACAGCTGAATCTCCTCCTCAGTGCAGTCAGGTTCTCCAGAGTCCTGCTAACGACCTCATTATTTGACTCAGGTGTGTTGAAGTTGAGATACATCTAAAAGTTGCAGGAGACCCTCCAGGCCTGGAGCTGCCCACCCCTGCTTTAGCTGGTAGTAGACCAGATATTGGAATGGAAAACGACATACACACAGACCTGGGAATGCTAATTCAGATGCTAACTGCTAAGTGAACTTTGGAAATATATTTTTACATTTTAGATCTTTAGATGTTTTTATGGGACTATATCTACCAAGATAAGATAGATAAATAATAATCAGACATACAATTAGGCTCAAAAATATTCATACCTCTGGAAAATTGAATAACACTCTCCACCAACCCTCTTCCAGTTCAAAGCTGGCACTCTGACTTTTTGTCTCTGCTCCACTTCAGCATTGTTCTTTCCCTTCGCTGCCTCTGCTGTGATATGGTGATACTGCAGTGGATTTCAGCCCAAATTTGTCGTTTCTTCTGGGTCTCTTCCAATATTCATTTGGGTCACTTTCGTTGTAAGCCTCTGCACAGAAGTGCGCACTGCAGATAGCCATGTTGGTTTACATACTGAGCGTGGTGAAGTCTTGCCTTCCCAGCTGGATGAATCTCACCTAAGGCTAATAGGGTTGTTTTCTGTAGTTTTTTTTTTTTTCCCCAGCTCACCATGTCCAGACCAATTACAGCCTTAACAGCCGCCACACATAAACAAGTTTTAAGCACAACTGAGCAAACAAAACCTCTTTGAGCTCAACAATAAGATCACGGCCCTTGGTCTCAGTTCTCCTCTAGTTGCGTCACACAAACCTCACTTTTTTTCTAGAAGAAGAGCTTTTTGGTTGCTTTGACACCTTGAAACATTTGCTAACTAATTAGAGACCAAATACAGCAACCAGATTTACAATTTGATCTCAGAAACTATTTTTCTAAACGAACCTTAAATGTAAGGTCAGCCAATTAAACTACCCTCACTCTCTGATTCCATTAAACCTGTGTTAAAATGTTGTTAGTGGTGCTAATGTTCTTAGCAGCTAAAGGGGCCTCTAACTGAAATTCTGCTCAGGGCCTATGCAACTTTGAACGGCTGTTCATGATGAGTTAAATCTGCTGCACTTTGCATCTCTCTGCTGGACAAAGTGGGACACACGGGGAGATTTAATTTATGTGGCTTTAGTAGTTCTTCCATTTCATATTTATTGAGTTTAATAAGTGCCACACTGACTGATTTGGTTGCCTGAGTTTTATAGGATGAGTTTTTCTGATCTCCATGCACAGCAACTCTGCCTGACTGCAATTAGACAAAGCATTTTATATGGTGCAGTTTGATGCATCGTGTCAAACTGTGCCATATAAACTCAAATAAAATAAAATAATAAAACCACCATTCTGCGTGAGGCGAGTGTGACATCTCCATGGGTTGAACCACTGGTTCACTAACGCACCGGCCAACCGAGGAACACGCACATAAACTTTATCAGCGCCGACACATATAAATTACTCGGGGACCACTTCTTTATTACACATACACATTTGTAGAATACGGAACAAATCGCGTCCCGTTTCGGTTTAATACGGGACGCTACATTTAACAGTCAAATACGGAACGGGTTGCAACCCCAGTCGACGTATTTGTGTGAGAAGACATTTTCGATTGTGAACTTAAATAACTCTCACTTACGAGACATCTTGCGCATCAATACCAGACCTGGCCTATGTGCTGCAGTTCAGATCTCAGTATCACATTAATGCAGACTAGTCATTTGTCATTTACAATAAGTCTCTGGATACATTTTTTGTTTTGTTTTTTTAGATCAAAATAAGTAATTCAGACAAGTTTTCAGTTTTCACTCCAGAATAATAAACTTTTAAAAATCTAATCAACATTTACTAATATGTCATCTTTCAATCGGGCCCTGCACTTGTTGATATGACTATTACTTGCTCATTTTCCTGTTATTTTATTTAAAAATTCTGTAAATATCATTAAAAAAAAGTTGGTGTTAAAACGTGAAGTTAAGTGAATATTCAATTGCATATGATATGCATGTTTCAAATGAACCAAAAGACATGCTTAAGATTGTTGAAATTAAAATGAAAAAGCAAATGTAAAACACAGAATGGCTTGCTGAAATTTGTTTAAATATATTGCTGTTCTATGTAAAGAACGTCCGCCAAGGTCAGCCCCCCTACATTTTTAACACACCAAATCTGGCCCCCTTTGCAAAAAATTTGGACACCCCTGCTGTAGACCAATCTTACAGCATAACATATTACCAAATGTCTTTTTTTCCTCCGACATGTCCACTTTTCACTTTCTGTCTAGGGAGATTTCATTGATTGATGAAAATATACGGTTGTTGTTTTTCGGGGCACCAATAGGCATCCTGAAAATGACGCATGATGGATGAAATACTACAGCTTTTCTCCTGGAGTTGCTAATTATTGATGTCGACCAATAGAAAACCTTTATATTGTGATACATTTTTCAGGCAAATCATCCAGCCCTACGATCAGTCAGAAGGAACATTTTGACCCTAATCTGCCAGGGATGTGAAAATTGCTTATGTTTGAAAAGGCTTTTGAATAAATTTTAGTAAGTTTAAAACATGTTTTTTTTTTTGTTTTTGTTTTTTTTTAATCACCGTCCCAGAGGTTAACAGTCATGCTTAGGGCTGTTCACTTGCAACTTGGTCAGGATTCATGTTGATGTCTGGTTTGAACAGGACCCCAGATGAACAACATGTTAGTAAGCACAGGAAGAAGTAAACAAATATTTGGCTTCAGTTGTATCTTGAAAGTACGTCCTGGTTTTATACTCAATAATTCACAATGTTGTTTGCAGTCGCCGTGATGACATGGAGTCTCTAGGCTACGTGCTGATGTACTTTAACAGAACCAGTCTGCCTTGGCAAGGATTAAAGGTATGAATATTCAACCCATGCATTCACAAATACATGTTTATTCTTTCAGGCATCACTGTGCTATTAATTACTATAATTATCATTATAGTTATAACTATGCTTTCAGCATTCATCTTGGTGTTAGAGAGCCAACATGAAACCGCATGTGTGCCTTTGTCTCTCCCTCAATTGTCTGATTGTGTTGATGAGGCTTAAAGTCTATATGAAGCACTTTGTCTCTGTACAACAGTTTTCCTTTTTAGACACAAGGCAGGTTAGATGTTCATTGATCTTATGTTCAATGAACGTATATCAACACTTAAATGATATAACTGTGCTGCTACTAGATTTATTTTGCTTCTGACCTAAGGCTTACCCCAAGGTTATGGCCAGATTTTACCAAGAAAAACATTAAAATTAAAATTACATTTAACCAAACTCCACCAGGGGTTTGAATTATTTTGTGATTAACTTTAGATCAATCTGTTGTACTACTTGATTTTTTTTCCCCTTTATTTTTTAGGCAGCCACAAAGAAGCAAAAGTATGAGAAGATCTCGGAAAAGAAAATGTCTACTCCTGTTGAGGTTCTCTGCAAGGTAAAATAAACTACAGACCATGCTGTTATCTCCTAACCTTTACTTTCTGGTTTGTCTTAAAACCAGCAAGTAACCCTAACCCTATCCAGCAAATTTTTGTTTTTCAACTCATGCTGAGTGGAAAAACTGAGTGGTTGTGTTTACCATACACTGTCAACATTTTACTCAGGTTCATGCTCCTGTTTGGGCCAACCACTGGGTAGCTTGTTTGATTGGTTGGTGATAATGGTCTTGCCTAAAGAGGGTTACTGCCGTCTCCTGTGAAGTAAAAGTCATGCCATGTAAAAATACTTGGTATGAAGGAATAATGTGTTGCACCCTCAGCTGTTGCTGGTAACGTATGTGATGTCTAGGTCTGTCACGTCAACAGATTTTGAAGATAGATTTTGCTGGGCAATTAATTGTCTCAAAAATTATTGCGATAAACGATAATATTGTTTGAAGACCATTTTAAACTGATGTAATCGTAATGACACAATAATGCAAGAAACATCCTGCCAAAAATACGTTATTTTCTAAAGAACACTAAACACTGGAACTGCTAAACAAAATAAGCAAAACAACCAAAAAAATAAATAAAATGGACTCTGTCTCCATTAACAAACATACTTGAATAAAAACTAAACGCAACATAAAACCAAAGTGGAAATAAAAACTACATTCAACCAACAGAGTACAGATTATGAAGTCTGTACACTATATTGCCCCTCAATAATCATTAGATTTAGATGGAGAAGGCGGGCATTACACTAATTAAATGAGGAAGGGAGGGTCAGTGAAGAGCACCAGAGTTGAGCCTTTTTTCATTCAGTGTTATCAGTAGAATGAGGAAAAAGGTAGGAAGAAACAATGAAGCCGATAAATTAAAATGAGGTCTATAATTTTCATTTATCGTGCAATTAATTGATTTATTGTTTATAGCGACAGGCCTACTGATGTAATTAGTTTTGTTCTTGGTAGGTTACAGACTAGAGCTGTTGTAAACAAATACTTTAGTAAGCCAGTATTCTATCAATTATTATTACGATTAATCAAGTACTCGGATTTTTAAAAATGATAAAATAAAATATTGGTAAATGTAACTACAGTGTTCCTATCAGATATCAACATCAGTCCAATTTTTCATATTTGAGCATCCCTAACAAGTACTTTTCTGTAGTTTAGAAAATTAACCTGTAACAACAATAGCTCACTTTCTAAGTTAACTTGAAGACAAGTTAGACAAAAATCTGAAATTATATTCAATTTAATAAAGAGGCAGCCTCACAAATACGCTTACAAAAATGTCTATATTCCATCTTTTAATTTTATGTATTCATCTTCAGTCAATTTAATAGATGAACTCTCATATTTCCAAGCATTTATAACTTTTATCCATTCTTAGCGACTCTATTTGGCTCTTCCGTCACATAAAGAAACACATCTACCATCTATGTACTGCCACGATGCGGGATGAGATCGGGATGATATGAAATTTATTTGCCGGTTCGTCCATAAAGCTACACTTATGTTAAGCATCAACTACAGCAGAGCTGCCCTCTGTGTTCAGTCTGTCATACTCCAAGGATGCCTATTGGTCCCCCGAAAATCCTCCCAGACCAAACTCGGTCCACCTCAGTCATGGACTCTGCTGCTTCCACAAGTTTGTCTTCAACCAAATCAGGAGACCCAAGAGAAGGTTCCACTGTTGTGGAAGACATCCTGTCTGGTTCCAGTAGCAAAGAAAACTCAGCCATCTGTTATCCTGACATCTGACATCATGAAGGTTCTGGAAGACACTCCTTCTGGCCAACCCGAGTAAGCAGACAAGTACGTATCTGGACCCAATGCAGTTTGCTTATTGCCGTAGAATTGGGAGTTGAAGTTGAAGATGCCTTCATGCATCTGCTTCAACAAACCCACTGTCATCTGGACAAAGCAGGCAGCACTGTGAGGATTATGTTCTTTGATTTCACCAGTGCATTTAACACAATTCAGCCAGATCTGCTCTGTGAGAAACTCAAGAAGACGCAGATGGAGGCCTCAACAATCACCTGTATCTATGACTACCTCACCCACAGACCACAATTTGTGAGACTGAAAAACTGTGCATGTAACCAGATGGTCATCAACATAAGTGCCACAGGGGACTGTACTCTCACCACTCCTTTCCACTCTACACTTCAGATTCCTGTAACATTCATCCGACTCCTGTCATCTACAGAAATACTTGGATGACTTTGCAGTTGTTGGGTGTATCAGAGACGGACAAGAGGCTGAGTACAGACAAAACCAATGTTTCACTTGTTGATTTCAAGTGAAGCAGGATTAGATCCAACCCTATTTCCATTATGGGAGAAGTGGAGGCGGTTGGGGAATATAAATACCTCGGAAGTTTGTTGGGTCAACAGACTGGACTGGAGATGCAACAGTGAAGCCGTCTGTAAGAAGGACAGAGCAGACTGGACTCCTTGAGGAAGCCAAGATGCTTTAAGGTCTATAAGTCTGTTGAGAGAGTCATTTCTTCTACTGTCATCTGTTGGGGCCACAGCATCAGAACCAGGGACCTAAAAAGGCTCAACAACCTGATAAAGAAGGCTGGTTCTGTTCTGGGGACGACTGTGGAACCTCTGGAGATGGACAACCCTGAACACCATTTTCATGGGACTGTCATGGGAAAACAGAGTATCTTCAGTCAGAGGCTTCTTCAAATTCCCTGTAACACAGACCGCTACAAGAGATCTTTCCTACCAACAGCCATCTCAATCTACAATAATTTTTTGAAAAATTTTAATGTTACAACATTGTTGAATTTTCCTTTGGAATCAATAAAGTATTTTTGAATTGAATTAGAATTGAGTCCTGCTGGTTGGAATTTGTTCTACTTCATTAATACTATTTTTGTGTTATTAGGGTTGTTTATTGTTTAAGCCATCTTTCTTGCTATTCCATGTTACTCTTTGTTGAATGTCTTGTTCTGTTGCTAAAGTTATGTTTGGCATGTGAATTGACAACTTGACAATATTCTTTAGCTATTCAGCCTTTGTTTTAATAAACTTGCAAAAATTTATACAAGTGAACATCCCGTATACATTTTGATACATTCAGAAAATATAGAAAACTGCACGTACATTAAAGTTTTGTTAATACATGTTTACAGGGTTTTCCAGCAGAGTTTGCCATGTATCTGAACTACTGCCGTGGGTTGCGCTTTGAAGAGGCACCAGACTACATGTATCTGCGCCAACTGTTTCGCATTCTCTTCAGGTAAGCTCATACACAAACAAGGAAAGGGTTCACTATGACTATTATAATAGTAGTCATGTGACACATTCTTTACCTATAAATACTTACCGGATGAAAATGTCTTGATCAAATAGACTACAAGTCTGAAAAGGAACCCAAAATCTAATCTCATTTTACTGACCTGTAGTTGCGTCTGATTTTATTGTATGTGATTGTTTCAGCCAGTTTTATGGTTTAGGGTTAACTGTGGCAATTGTCTCAGTCACTGTAGTTGTAGTTAATCTACATTCACTAACCACTTTAACTGGTACAGCTGCTCAGTTGTTTTTTTTTTCTCCAAACCAGCTATAAGTAAGCAACCTAGTGCTTTTGTTCATTTAGGAATGATAAAGATGACTGGCTGAAGGTGAGTGATTTGAACATGGCATGGTTGTTGGTCTCAGAATAACTAATGATCTACTGGGATTTTCACTCTCACCATCTTAAGTTTCAGAGAATGCCTGAAAAAGAAATGAAAATATCAGTTGTATGGAAAAATCAGATGAGAATGGAAACACTGGTTTGAGATTGTTTTAAAAAAGGCAACAGTAGTTCAAATAACATTTACAGTAGAGATGTGCTGATCAGGTTTTTTCCTGCCGATCACCGATACCGATCACATAATTATTTTTTTAATCATAAG